GGGAGCCAACGCCTGGCTGAAGCCCGCCTGCAAGGAGGAGGTGCTCCAGGCTTCCGGCACGTCGAACACCACCCTGAAGAGCTCCGGCACGCGGCCCGGATCCCGGGCCGCCGCCGCGGCGCTCGGGTCGCCCCAGGGGGGCCCCCCGGCGACGTGCCCCAAGAGCCTGTCGAGCACTGGGAGCTCCGGGCGGATCGCGGGCTGCGCCAAGCTCCGACGCTGCGCGCGTCCCCTAAGCTCCGACTAGGCTCGTCGGGGCACGGCGCGCTCCGTAGGCCAGCTCCGGCAAGGCGAGCAGGAACTGTGCTTTGATGCACTTCTGCTCGGGGAGGTGCGTGGTCTTCCGGCTGAAATTCACACGCAGCCCCCGCGCCAGCTGCTCGGGGGCGAACTCGCATACCTCGGCGAGCTTGTCGGCGTTGACAGCCTGGGGCCCCCAGACGCGCTTCATGGCCCGGTCGAGCTCGTTCCCCGACAGCCAGGGGCGGATCCCCGCGAAGGGTTCAAGCACCACCCCGTCGTCCATGAGCCACTTGCAGGCGAAGCTCACCTCGTCGTTGGCGGCTGGCGTCGGCGGGCGATGGCGTTCATGCTCCTTCTCCGCGGCCCAGGCGAACGCCGCGCACGCCCCTGGGCTACCCGACCAGCCGAACACCAACACCGAGTGGATCACCACGACCTTCCCGTTGATGCCCGCCGCGTCTCCTGGCAGCGAGGCCCCGAACTCCGAGACGGCAGTTGGCTCGAGATGGCGTCGCTTGCAAGCGCGAGCAACGTCGCTTGGCACGCAGCTGCGGCATCCCAGGGTGCCGAGCTTCCCGCCGCAACGACAGCCTGGCGAGCGGGTGTTGCTCCTTGGGGCTGTCCACGGTGACGCACCTCGTGTCGTGGACCGGCCTGCCCTCTGCGGAGACGGTCCGGTCTGGGTTCCGCTTGGGGATCCGGCCTGCGGGAGGCCCGATGACGGCGGAAGCCTCGAGCGCATCGTTGACAGCCTCCGAGGCCCACGGGGCGACGCCGTACATCTCTCCAGCGTGGTCTACGGCCGAGGAGTGCGACTCGTGTGCCTCGCGCGTCCTGGCAGCGATCCTTCTCGACGGCGCTCCTCCCCCAGCCGTGGCCCGCGGGTAATTCCCCCCCGCGGTCGGGGCTAGCGCCGCTTGGAGGTCGTCGGCCAGGACGCCTTCCAGCGGGTTCCCGTGATTATCCTCGCGCGCCGTCTTCAAGAGCCTGGCTGCCTCCTCTACGGCGCAAGCGGCGCGCGGGAGGTGGCCCCCGCGTCTGACGACCTCCGGGGTCGCGAGCTCGGGCCGGCACTCGGGGTGCGCAGCGCGCCGCGCGACAAATTGGGCTGCCTCAGCCTGGGCCGGCGAGGGCGCTGCGCTCGGCGCCCCCACCAGGGGGGCCCCCCCGCGTCGCCCGTCCGCGTCCGGAGGCGGCGGGGCAGCTCGGCCGCCCCTCCCTGGCTCTGCGGGCCGCGCCTTCTGCCTCGGGGGCGCAGTGACCTCTCATTGAGATGTGCCCGTCGTGGCGCGCCCTTGGGCTGCGGCGCTGGCATCGGGCGCGCCGGCGCCCTCGCGCTGGGGGCGCTGCCCGGGGAGGACCTGCGCAGCCTCCTCACGCGCCGCGCCGGCGCGCTCGCGCCGCCAGTGCATGGCGGGCCCGCCATCTCGCAGTAGACGCTGGGCCACGTCGGCGGGACCCCCCAAGCAGGGGGCGCGGTGCGTTCACCCTCCGGCACCCTCGGGCATGTCCATGGACGCCTCGAGCTGCGCGAGCATCTCCACGTACTCGCCGAGGATGGGCCGTGCTCACTCCGCGTCCAGCTAGCCTCCCGAGGCAGCCCTGCGTCGATCTTCTCGATGCCCGCCCTCAGGAGGTCTCGGGCCGAGGTCCTCGAGCAGGCCCTCGAGTCTCGAATCCTCGGGGGGCTGGGCGCCTTTCAACATGCGGGAGGCGTAGTTGTCGAGCATGGTCTTGGCGCGGTAGCAGAGGTCCTCGCCTTCCACGATGAGCGGCGCGGCTGGCTTGGCTGTTTCCCAGGAGGGTGTCAGTCATGTGCCTGCTCGCCCCATCGCTCGCGCGGCTCTTGACGCAGCTGGCGGCGAGTGGGGCGGCCCGGCCGACGAGGCTCGCCTGGCCCGCGTAGTGGCCGGCGGCTCCATCGGCCCCAGGCTGTCGGCGCTCTGGGCGCGCGGGCGCCCGGCCCTCCGGCCAGCCGGCGGCCCCCCCGTGAGGGCTCGATCCTGGCTGGCCTCATCCCTCTCCTGCTGGCTCGCCTCGCCGGCCTCCGTGTCGTCGATGCCAAGGCGCTCTGGGCTCGACGCTGGCGCGGGCACCGTCGGCGAGTCGAAGCGCGCAAACTATGCCGCTGGAAGGTGCGGGCGAGCCGCGCCTCGGAGGTGCGCTGCCGGGCCGGCCCCCCGGGGCCCCTGCCACCCCGGGCGACGCGGCGCCTGATGCCAGCGAGCATCCCGCCGGAGGGGCTAGCTGCCGCGGCTGGTCGCCTCGCGGCTCGCCCAGCTTCGCCGCCGAGATGCGCGTGGCATGGCGGGGCGCCAGCTGACGATCCCACGGTCTGGTGGAAGCAGGTGACGATCGACCACTTATCCCGGTCCTCGTGGCCTTGTACACCTGCTCGTGGCGCTCGCAGAGGCAGACCGTCGCGTTCTTGCCATCAGGAGGGGGCGGCAAATCAGAAGCCTGCCCGTCCTCCCAAAGCAGGGTGACGGGCGTCGCGTCGGCCGCATCGCGGCAACCTTCTGCGGCCAGCGGACGCGTCGCGCCTTTGATGAGATCGCCGACCTTGACGGCTTCGCAGGGGCTCTCTTCGACCTCCACTCCAGATTCCGACTCCTGATCCAGGAGCTCCGCCACTCTCCCAGCTACGCCTGGCTCCGCAGCGCTCGCCGATTCACGGCGGCGGCGTCGCCGGCGGCTGCAGCGCCTGCGGCGGCGAGCCAGATGAAAGAGATACATCGAACTGGCGATGGACATGCTGGCCCCGCCGGCGAGCGCGCGCCTCGCCAGCATGCAGAACTGGCACGTGGTGAAGCAGGCGTGGGCACCGATGTCGACGAAGGCTGCAGAGTCCAGCGCCGCGTACTCCACGCAGTGGATCTCCTTCTCGCCCTTCTGCTGGCAATCCCCACAGCGGCACAGGTGGTTCCAAGTGCTCTGTTCGAGCTTCTGCCAAGGGTCCAGGTGGATCCTCGTTGCGCTGGATCCAAACCCATTTCTTCCCGATGCGCTCCGGGTTGTCGATGGCAAGTCCGAGCTGGGCCACGTGCCCATCCATGCGCGCAAAGAGGTCGTTGGGTTTTCGCCCAGCACCCCGCGCCCCCATCGTCTTCTGGTAGAAGGATGTCGTCGCACTGGGGCCCGCGGCGGGCCCTGCCCAGACGACCGTCGTGGGCTGCGGGGGCGCCGGCGGCGGGAAGCGGCCCACCTCTGCTTCGCCTGGCGTCCGTCGGGCGCAGCAGCAGCAGCACGCGCGGCAGATGCCGGCGGCTGCCCCAGCGGCCCAGCAAGCCCACGCGCAAGGCGCGAAAAAGGTCCGCAGGCTGCGGGCCGTCAGGGCGAAGATGCCAGTGCAGCCCAACACGATGATGGTCCAGCCGACGATGGGCCAGGCGGCGCCGAACAGGCGCACGCCACAGCTGTCGTCCAGGCACAAGATCCAGCCCCCTTCTGAGCACAGCCAGCCGGGATCCTGTTGGGTGGCGGAGGCGCCTTTGAGGGACTCGAAAGAGTGAGCCCACCCTCCCATCCCCTCGACACTCCAGGATCAGGCGTGGTTCCCGAGGTTTTCCCAACTGAGAGACCAGGCCCCAATCCCCGATCCATGAGGGGTCTGGTGAGGCGTCTGGGAGGGAGGTGTTTGAGGCGTCCCTCCTTGGCGGGGCAGCCGGCGGCTCGGGCGGATCGCCAGGCGGGGCGCTCCCCGCCGGGGATAGGCCTCGCTCGCCAGGCTCTGACTCCTCGGAGTCCTCGGCGTCGTCGACGGTCGAGTCGCCCAAGTCCCCCATCGGTTCGCTGTACGTCCCGTCGTCGTAGTATACACCGCGACGGATTCGTGCAACGGCAGACCGGGGAACTCCAGGGCCCTGCCCACGGGGGCTGCGGCGCCCAGCGCCGCCGCCCACGCGAGCATACCCAGCCCGCTCCCCGTGGCCAGCGCCCAGCGGCGAGTGTTAATTAGCCCGCGCGGCCTCCGCCGTGCCGCCCAGCGGGCGTCGCTCCGCGCTGCGCGCCGCCATGGCCGCGCGGGCGGATCTCGCAGGCCCCGGGGGTCTACCCGGGGCCCGGCCTCTGGACCACCTGAGGCCGACCCCCAGATTGACCCAGAAAGCTAGAGCGGGAGCGAAGGAGGGGAGCAAGCAGAAGCAGGAGCAGGGAGCAAGGGGAAAGCTAAGAGGAGCCCCCGCATTCCTGGGACCTGAGAAAGCCTGGCGCTTACTACAAACAACTAAGTTCGGGGGATACTGTCGAGCCTAGGGGAGGGTTAACAATCGCATTGTGAACGAGGAACTCAATAGAATAATGACCTCCCTATCGCATCGCGAAGAGGCGGGTGATTACCTCCAAAGGTAGAAGCAGCCTGCCGGGGACGCCATGCTTGAGACTGCGAGTAGGGCTGATAACCTCAAGGAGCAGCCGGAAGCCAGAGAGCAGGCCCACGGAGACCCTACATAATGCTCTCGACATGAGGATCACGGACCTTGAGCAGGCCAGGAGCGCGCCCGAGCAGCTGACTCGCAAATTATCGCGATCCCCAGCAATGAGGGCGAGGGGCACTGCCCCCGGTCGCGTCAGGGTTGGCCCAGATCACCCTCGAGACATTGAGAGCGACACACTAAAACGTACAGTAGAACGTCCCTCTCCTTCCTCTCCGTCTCTCCCCTTCTCCTCCCCTTTTCCACACTCCCATCCCCCGCACCATCTCCTTGGTCCTGGTTCATCCCATCTCCTATCCTCTCTACCCTCCCATCCCTCGGGTCCTCGGCACAAATTCGAGAGGGTCCACGTCGCGTTCCGCATCATAGACGTCTTCTCCGTCTCGCGGAGCACCATCGCGATAGGATTCAGGCCTGCCCCCCAATCGCTACCCCCAGTATGCTACCCCCTCTCACCCACCCTCCCCTCGCTCCTTAATTCTCCTTGCCCTCCCTCCTCTCTTTCCACATGCTTCCTCGACCTCCCTACTCTTCATCATTCTCGGGCCGCCCAGAGGCGGCAATGGACTCCTCGTGCGGGCGCCTGCTTCCCAGGTCTTGAGCATCTGATCTGGGAATGGCACCGGGGCTTCAAAGATTCTTCCACCTCCCCAAACTGTTGCCGACCAGGCTGCTGACCCATAATTTCCAACGGCCGCGCGAGCTCGCCTGGGGTGGTGCGACCGCGCGAGCTGCGCGCGGTGGCTATCGTGCAAACCTTCTCTTACTTGTGGGGATAACCGCAGAACCGCCAGCACAAGTCTCCGCGAGAGGCCCCTTGCTGTGACGCCCCGCTTGGTGAAGCGGGCCGTCACGCTGCCCAGCATTAGCTGTGGGAGGGATGCTCTGGACAGGATGTGCTGGGCAGGCACGATAGCGTAATGATCAGGCCCTGGCTTTGCGGAGCAGCGACATTCTGAGCCCGACGCGCTGAACGAAGATGATATCATCCTTGCCGCCCTTCTGGTTTCCGAAGTCAGCGCGGATGGACAACTAATCCTTTTTTTCCATGAGCGCGGCGGCGTTGACGACAAAGATCGCTTGCGTGGCGGAGCAAAACATAGGTGGACAACTCACGAATATCGCCATTCGCCCAGCCTCAACTTGATGATAATCTGGCGCATCCCAAAATAGTATTTTGCGTTCCAAGCGCATGTCAGGGCGGGCAAATCCTGCAACCCGGCCTGTGGTTGTCGATACGATGTGTTACAATCCGAAATAACAACCAACTGGCCAGGTCCACGAATCCAACACATAGTGACACACTAGAGAGGAAGAATACGGAAAAAGGTGACGAGAGAAATGGATGTAAAGGCGGATGGAAAAAAGGGCGACGTTTGTCCGATATCAGGTGTACGCCGATGTATGAAAACGAGTTCCAAAGCGGGCGCGCTGGGCTGCAGCCGAAACGGCAGCGGGTGGCGCAGGCAACGCAGGGGTGAAATTCGCCTGACGAAGGACCCAAACATATGCAGGTGTGAGTACCGCAATTGTGATTCACTTGTTCGGTGGTGATCCCTATGAGGCAACGAACCGTGCTAGGGGTGTGCCGAAATGAGTGGCGTGGTACACAACGCGAACGAAAACGATTGATCAGAGTACGTAGGAAGGGTGAGCGCGGGTGAGTCTGAGCGCGAGTGCGTCTGACTGTGAATGAATCTGCGTGCGAGCGAGTCTACGTGCATGAATTCGAATATGACAAAGCATGGTGTATCTGTATATGAATGTCAATAACTTGAGAACGACTGCCTCTGAATACTCGTGACGCTGGGCGTGGCCGCCGCAAGGAGCTTCCCCGGGACTCCCCGACGACATCGCCCGCGCGCCGCGACGCCAATGTCGGGGCGCCCCCCCGCGAGGGTCGCGCCCGCTTCCTCCCCTTCTTTTACTCCCTCTTTGCCCGCACACTCAAAAGTCCAAGGCTGCGGGCGCAGCGCACCGCGGAGTCCCCGCGACGCGCGCTGGTCGCCCCGGAGGGGTCCCAGCGACGCGCGCGGGTCGTCCGCTGCGCGGAGCAAAGAGAGCTAGCTGGCTAATTCCCGCGACGCGCGCTGGTCGCCCCGGAGGGGTCCCAGCGACGCGCGCGGGTCGTCCGCTGCGCGGAGCAAAGAGAGATAGCTGGCTGGCTGATAGCGGGCAAGGCTCTTGCCGCTGGGCAGAGCGACGACAGGCGAGCGAGGCGCTGGGCAGAACGCAGCACGCAGCTCCTGCGACGCGCGCTGGTCGCCCAGAGAGGGTCCCAGTGGCGCGCGCGGGTCGTCCGCAGGGACCTTCGGTGGAGCTCCCTATGGGGTGACGAAGCGCTGTACTGGGTGAGGGAGACGCATGCGGACTGCGCCACGGGGACCCTCGGTGGGGCTCCATATGCGGCCACGAAGCGCTGCACTGGTTGAGGGAGACGCATGCGGACAGCGCCACGGGGGGACCTTCGGTGGAGCCCCCTATGGGGCCACGAAACGTGTGACGTGTGAGGACCTTCGGTGGAGTGCCAAATGGGTGTGCGGGACGCATGCGGGCACACCCACTGGGACCTTCGGTGGAGCTCCCTATGGGGCCACGAAACGTGTGAGGGGTGTGCCGAAATGGGTGTGCGGGACGCATGCGGGCACACCCACTGGGACCTTCGGTGGAGCTCCCTATGGGGCCACGAAACGTGTGAGGGGTGTGCCGAAATGGGTGTGCGGGACGCATGCGGGCACACCCACTGGGACCTTCGGTGGAGCTCCCTATGGGGCCACGAAACGTGTGAGGGGTGTGCCGAAATGGGTGTGCGGGACGCATGCGGGCACACCCACTGGGACCTTCGGCGGAACTCCCTATGGGGCCACGAAACGTGTGAGGGGTGTGCCGAAATGGGTGTGCGGGACGCATGCGGGCACACCCACTGGGACCTTCGGTGGAGCTCCCTATGGGGCCACGAAACGTGTGAGGGTGTACCGAAATGGGTGTGCGGGACGCATGCGGGCACACCCACTGGGACCTTCGGTGGAGCTCCCTATGGGGCCACGAAACGTGTGAGGGGTGTGCCGAAATGGGTGTGCGGGACGCATGCGGGCACACCCACTGGGACCTTCGGCGGAGCTGCCCATGGGGCCACGAAACGTGTGAGGGGTGTGCCGAAATGGGTGTGCGGGACGCATGCGGGTACACCCACTGGGACCTTCGGCGGAGCTCCTTATGGGGCCACGAAACCTGTGAGGGGTGTGCCGAAATCGGTGATGACGACGATGATGATGATGATGACGATGATGATGATGGGAGGAGAGGAGGAGAGGAGGAGGAGAGGAGGAGAGGAGGAGGGGAGGAGGAGACGCGGGCCACCGTCTCTTCAAAACGAGGACCCAACTCCACAGGATGGTTGGGAAAAAGGCAGGATGGATACCGCTCGTGTTTGGTGCTCAAGCGGGTCGTGCCTATGTTGGAACTTGACAATTGCAAGGAGGGTGCTCTACGGACCGCACCTTCATACAAAATTACCTCCAGCAAGGAGTGCTCGACTGACCGCGCTTTCATCAAAGTTGCAGGCTGGCCACGCTCAGGAGACAATCGATAGAGTACTCACTACACTGGATGCGGGTGTTCCAGTGACACAGTCAGCGGGAGCAGCACTCACGTGCATGTTCGACTTCCACATCGTCCCTGCCCGTGAATGCCCGCAAGATCTGGCAAACTTGTGGCTGTCACAGGGTCGACCTTGCAACGCAGTCACAAGAGTCGCATCGTAACTGCTGGCTGAGAGGGCGCGTGTATCCCCCGTCTCCTTGTCAGAGATGGCCTGTGCAACTCCGGACCTGGCCGCTTTCGCGGAGCCATGGGCGGCGGAACCACGATTTACCAGGACCCCCTGCCACGGGGGGGGGCGCGGGAGGAGGAGGATGAACAGGGGCAGGGAGATGGGGGGGGGGAGGGAGGCAGGACAAGGGGCCCAGCGCTTCCTGCATCTATCTCAGCAGTGTCTCAGCCCGTCCAGGCATGCTCTTCGAAGAACTCTCGCACCCACGCAATCAAGGCAGCCGGTACCACCCCGAGACCAGTCGAACAGCCGCTTGAAAACGTAAGACGGGGCCGGCGCGAGGACGAATGAGCAGGAACAGAGGGCAGGGAAAGCGAACAACGATGACGCCCGAAACAACCTGGGCGCGGCAGCAGGATGGATGGATGGATTACTTATTCGTCCTCCCCTTCAGCCAAGTGCCGAAGGCAGATGCTGGTGGCTGCTTGTCGCCTTGGCATCCTGATCCTTGGCCAAAACTTTGATCCTGAAGGACGGTTACTTGTTGACTGTTAGCTTCTGCCTGAAGGTTCTACTCCAGAGTTCGGGTGTTCCTTGCATGTACTTTCGCGGCAGCAGGTGTGCCGCCATGTCTCTCGGCACTGGTGCGCGCCAGACTGCCCCGCGGGACTCGGAAACAGTGTGACAACGACGCGCGCATGCACGCTACACTCGTGAAGCACGGCCGGAACGAGGGAGCGACGAGGAGGAAGGAGGAGGAGGAGGAAGAAGGAGGAGGAGGAGGAGGAGGAGGAGCAGAAAGGACTGCAGCGGCCGCGCCCGCACGGGCGTACGGCAGGACATTTCGCGCCGGCACGCGGCCTCTGGGCCCAGGAAGAGGGGGGAGGACAGGGAGGAGGGAATGAAGGGGGGAGGGAGGGAAGAAGGGCAGCAGGCAAGGTGGGAGGGCTGTGCTGGGAGCTCGGCGCGGCCTTTTTCTTATTCTTTCGTCGCAAATGTTCCACATTATCATGGTCGTAACTGATCCGGCCGTACATCTAAGTGAGAATGGGTTCCCAGTGTATGCTGCCCTTAGTCACGGGGTCGGCCCGCATGTCCTTAGTGTCGCACTAAAGCAGGCCTTCGATTTGCTTGATGCGGAGCTGGTCAGCCAACCACCACAGGTGACAGACCATGCTCTTCTCGGAAGGCGGCCGCACAGGATCCATGAGCAGGGCGCTGGAGGCGGGCACTCCGTCGATGACGAGATTTGGAGGGATCGCGTAACCTCATTCCTCCCTGACACCCCTGATTTCCTCGGCAGAGGTGGGGCCGTGCACCATCTCGCGCGGCGCGAGGAAATGCACCTGCGGTCCGTCGGCCGCGCTGCATGCTGCGAGCAGCCCTGGGCCGGACGAGAATCAGCACGCCGGCTTGTGCGATCGGCTCAGTTCGTCCAACACTAGCACACCTGTTTGCCGGTGCGGCGGCGCTCGCAGAGACGCATGTCTACGGCCCTTCTCGCGCCGTATCCTGTCTCTTCCTCCCCCTTCAACGACCTGTCGCAATGCGCGCTGCATCGCCTGGCGCGCTCCATTGCTGGAAACGCGATGCGCACCTTGATCTTCTGCGTGGCCACAACAACTGCGTTGAGCTGCATGTC